CAGCCATTTCTAGCCTGGTCTTAGCTGGTCAGGCTGGAAAATGACCAGCCAAATCCAGCTAAAACCAGCTTGACCAGCCTGGTTTAAACTGGATATAGATGGTTTTGGCTGGACTTCCAGCTTGGCTAAGCTGGTCAAGCTGGTTTTAGCTGGTCATCTCCCAGCCTGACCAGCTAAGACCAGGCTGGAAATGGCTGGAAACCAGCCTGGAAACGGCCAAAACCCCTCTAAAACCAGCCTGGTCGACCAGCTAAAATCAACCAACCAGCCTAGGCTGGTTTAAGCTGGATTTTTCAGCAGGGAAGTGTGATCTATATAGTATGAATATAAGTACTATGAATTAATTGGGACACACTTTCACTTTTCACTTACATTTTCACTCGAGCCGCCATTTTCAATATCACGTGACCTGCACGCATCGAAGGGTCACTTCACTCTTATTCGTGATCCATTGGATGCACACTTTAGATTCTTACCGGAAGTAGTAGGTCAGCTGGGTACTAATAACATACTGTTTTTACAATACTATGAATTTAGACAGTACTCGGCTCACGCACTGTGTTTGACATTCTATATAGTCTGTAAGTATGCAATATCAGCCCAAATCCCTTTGCAAATCATTTCACTCGGCGGGCATCTTTGCAATGCCTCTTGTATGTTCTCTATATGATCAAATTCTCCAAAAGTGTTTGCCAAGCTTATGGTTAAATTTCATATTTGAAATCACCAGTAAAATTAAACAACGACTGTCTAAGTTTTGTTTCTAAGCGTTCGAATCAAACTAAATCAGCGTTTTTAAGGTTGCCCAAGCTAATGCGCACTCGATGTGAACGAGATCACGACACCAACCTCATCTACGGCTGTTTATGTTTACATATTAACTTAATCATCCTCTGATTAATGCCTCGTCTGATCGCGCTGGTCTTGTGATTAATGCTTCGTCTGATCGCGCTGGTCTTCTGAAATAATTTAACTAAAAATAACTTGGCCTTGATGGCAAATCTCCCAAAATTACTTCGTTTACAAGTTCGAGACTTTGCATTAATTTCGTGCAGATTACAAAACCAAAAAGCATTTTGTTTGTGAGTGCAGTAGGCTCATTGAAAAGTCAAGATTCAAGTGCGTTTGTTGAGCCCAGAGGATTCATAATGAAGCTGCAGAAACTGCCATAAACACACGTCTGCAACAAACCCCTCCCCCGGAGAATCCTCAGTCTATAATGATTGCTGATTGGCTACTTTTCTTGAAGGCGGGGCTTCATTCGCCATATTGACCGTTACTATTTTCCCAATTCATAACTATACGAGTGACATGTCTTGTGTATTAAGTCTTTGCTCTTCTGGTCCAAACCCCTCCCCTGGAGAATACTCAGTCTATAGTGATTGCTGATTGGCTCCTGTTCTAGAAGGCGGGGCTTCGTTCGCCATATTGACCGTTACTATTTTCCCAATTCAAAACTATACGAGTGACATGTCTTGTGTATTAAGTCTTTGCTCTTCTGGTCCAAACCCCTCCCCCGCAGAATACTCAGTCTATAGTGATTGCTGATTGGCTACTTTTCTAGAAGGCAGGGTTTCATTCACCATATTGACCGTTACTATTTTCCTAATTCATAACTATACGAGTGACATGTCTTGTGTAATAAGTCTTTGCTCTACTGGTCCAAACCCGTCCTTAGTCTATAATGACTACTGATTGGCTCCTTTTCTAGAAGGCGGGGCTTCATTCGCAATATTGACCATTATACTTTCCCCCATTCAAACTTTACTTGTGCTTTTGTTCTAACTAACCATAGAGTCCTGAAAGGCTTTCCATTGCTGATCTTCCTACAATAATTTCTCCATTAATGTGACAGATCTTGATGTGGAATCTGGAGGAGGGCGTGGCCGTGAAGATGATTGACAGCCATCCAGATGTGGTGCTCTGCATGTCCTTCAACACCGACGGGAGTTTACTGGCCACCAGCTGTAAAGACAAAAAACTGCGCATTATTGATCCACGCTCGGGGAAAGTGCTTCAGGTCAGACACAAAACATGTGTTATGAATATTAATGTTGTTGTTTTTGGATGTTATTTTTGTATTATTTGTAAGTCACGTTGGATAAAAAACGTCTGCTAAATGAATAAATGAATTAATGTTTAGTGCGTAACTATTATATAATTCAGATTTTGTTGTTGAATTATACTGTAACTTATTTTAAATGTAATAATAAAATTCATACATTTATTTTTTAGACGTATCATTTTAACTCAAGTTAACTCATTCACTAAATATATTTTGCAAAAAATTTGTTAAATTTACTTTAACCAGATTCAGTTGACAACAAATCATTTATAATAATAATATTTTGTTTTATAGAGTTTTTTTATCGTTTGTAAAAATAAAAAATATTTCTCACTTAAATAAAGTTATTATTAATGTATTTAATAACATGAACTGATTATAAACAATGTTAGTGCAGTGTCTAATAATCATAGTTCAACTTTTACTAATGCATTAGTAACATGCTTGTTAGTACAGTAAATGCACCGAGTTAAAGGTGCAGTAGGTGATTGTCTTCAGAAGCATTTGCTGTTGTGCTGATTGAAAGTCTCTTCACAATCTAATAGTAATCATTACAGTAAATAATCTAAATGTGCTTATATGTATTTTTAAATTTTAGGTAAGGCATAAAACAAAAAAATGTTCATCCAATTAAACAGAGTCGGACCGACATCTCTCATAATTCCGATAAGTAGCCCAATCTGTCTGTCAGCAAATGTAGATTTGAACAAGTGCGCAGCCTTTTGTACGCAGATTTGCCGACCGCCGCGCGTTCACGAGAGAGAGAGAGAGCATGCGTGCACGATCGGTAAAAGCCTGCTGAATCAAAACTTTTTAAAAGAGAAAGGATGACACCATGGCTGAAGGATTTCTCTTAGACGGGTAATGTTCTGTTTTAAAACTGATGTAACGTTAGATGTTGTTGTTACAAATGGGTTATATCTTCACAGAAGTGTTGTTCAGCCACTAAAATCGTCCGATGAAAGATTGATAAGACTATTTTCAGTTTCATAAGGGACCTTTTACAGCATCGATGATGTAGATTTTAATTAGTTTAACAACAAAACACAAGTAAATAGAGCTTTTCCGTCTAGTCTCTCTCCCTATATTGTTAACCATGCAACTCTAAATATTCAATCTGAAATAGCATGTCAGTTTGGCTTGCACGCCGCCGGACAAGCACTAGTCGCTTTTAACACAGGAGGGAGGGTTCTTTTGCTGTGCTCTTGTTTCAGGAGGCGTGGCTCTAGACGACAGGGGAGGGACTGTGATTCTGAGATTTATGCTAAGCTGTTAGCATTGTGGAAGATCACCTACTGCACCTTTAACATCCGCTAATAATGAATGGCTTTATTTTCCATAACTAATATTAATAAAGCAGAATACACACTGTAATAAATGTATTATTTATTGTTTGTTTGTGTTTAAAAAAAATTTAAGTTTATTTTTATTTTTCTTCATGCTACTTTTAGAGTTATGTTTTTCTCCAACCCAGGCTCATTTCTGAAAATGTACCCATGTATACATTTCTGGAGAGCGCCAAATACAACCCAAGCTCATTCTGGAAACGTAGCCCCGCAGACGTTTCTGGAGACTGCGATTTACGTGGCCGGAGGTACGTATGGCCACGTTTAGATTTTTTTGAGCGAACACTCGCCGGCCGACGGCTCACCTTCGAGTGGAGGGCTTTCCCGATGCAACCAGTTTGTCCGCTTAGCTCGCAGCGTTACGTCGGTAGAGCAGAGGCCCGGAGGAGGAGGAGCCGGCCGCGGGGATGACCGGGATCGAGTCCGGGGAAGAGCGGTTCCAAAAATCAGGCAAGATGAAAAACAGAATCCAAAAAATAAGGGCAAGGACGCGGCAAGATCCGAAAACGCGGTCGAAATTGAAGACGAGGGCTTTTGCTTTTTTTTTTTCTGGACGGCTTTTGCAAATTGTCGCTTGGGTTTAGGGAAGGAGGAGGAGCAGGAGGAAGAGGAGGGCGGCCAAGTCGGCCGATCCGGCTGCTTTTCGCGCGAGAACAGCGCGGGCGTGAACAGCGCGCTCCCGAGAGGCGCCCAAGATGCGAAAAAGCGCGCACAGCAGCCTCTCGCGGATCCGCGAAAACAAAAACCGATCGAATATGTACCTCCCGGGACATATCTAGCGGTCCGCAGAAACTTCCGCGGGGCTACGTTTCCACAATGAGCCCGGGTTGACCAAATATGTCCCAGGAGCTACGTCGTTTTTTTGCAGTTTTTATGTTTGCGTATCCACCAGAGGGCACTGTGTACGCTCAAACTACACATCTCAAAGTTCTCTCGTGATTGTCATTCATACCTGCTGTTCTCATGTAAATCCCAACCCAAGCTCATTCTGGAAACACAGCTCCGCGGACGTTTCAGTAGGCCGCGAATTACGTGGCCGGAGGTACGTATGGCCGCATTTAGATTTTTCAAGCGAACGCTGCAGGGAAATGTGGCGCCGCTCCGCTCCTCCTCTTCGCGCTCGCCGGCTGACGGCTTGCTTCCGATTGGAGGGCCTTCCCGATGCAACCAGTTTGTCCACTTAGCTCACAGCGTTACGTCGGTGGAGCGGAGGCTCAGAGGAGGAGGAGCCGGCTGTGGGGACGAACGGGATCGAGTCCGGGGAAGAGCGGTTCCAGAAATCAGGTAAGATGAAAAACAGAATCTGAAAAACAAGGGCGAAAACGCGGCGAGATCCGAAAACGCGGTCGAAATTGAAGACGAGGGCTTTTGCTTTTTTGGACGGCTTGTGCAAACTGTCACTTGTGTTTAGGGAAGGAGGAGGAAGAGGAGGGCGGCCGGGTCGGCCAGCCAGCCAACCAGTTGGACGGACGGCAATCCACAGCGGCCTCCGGCGGCTTTTCACGCGAGAACAGCGCGGGCGCGAATGGCGCGTGCTCCAGAGAGGCGCTCGAGACGCAAAAAAGCGTGCACAGTGGCCTCTCGCGGATCCGCATAAACAAAAACTGCTCGAATATGTACCTCCCGGGACGTATTTCGCGGTCTGTGGAAACGTCCGCGGGGCTACGTTTCCACAATGAGCCCGGGTTGGTAAATCCACAAGAGGCCGCTGTCGACTGACTGACTGACTGACTGACAGACTGACTGACAGACTGACTGCCAGGCCCACCCCCTACCCTAAACCCAACCGAGTGTTTTAAAAAAACAATACAGAAAAACAAAAGCCGTCAGATTTTTACCACGTTTTCAGAATTTTCACATTTTTCTCACTCTGTTATTTACTTGTGTATTTTATTTTATTTTTATCCCTGTAGTGTTCGTTTTCCTGTAGACGAACTATGGCCACACGTTCCTCTGGCTACATAATTCACGATCTCCAGAAATGCATACAGGGCTACGCTTTCAGAATTCAATTCAATTCAGCTTTATTTCTCTAGCACTTTTACAATGTAGATTGTGTCAAAGCAGCTTCACATATAAGATCACAGTAAATGTAAACAGTGTAGTTCAGTTTTCAGAGTTTAAGTTCAGTTCAGCTCACTTCAGGTGTGGTTTAATATTCACTGCTGAGAGTCCAAACACTGAAGAGCAAATCCATCCATGCGCAGCTCTACAGATCCTGAACCATGCAATCTAGAAAATGAGTCTATGTGGTTTTTCTTTCCATCATATTTTAGTGTGTGTGTGTGTGTGTGTGTGTGTGTGTTTAATTGTGTTGTTGTGAGCAGGAGTCGTGCTGTAAGAGTCTGCGTGTGAACCGTGTGGTGTTTCTGGGTAATCTGAGGCGTGTTTTCACCACCGGCGTCTCCAGGTGGAACAGCAGACAGATTGCATTGTGGGATCAGGTAGAGCTGAAACACTGTTAAACACACGTGCACACACACACTAACATTTACACACACACAAACACTTACACACACACAATCATAAACACAGAATCACAGGCATGCGCACACACACACACACACACACACAAACACGTACACACACACACAGTCACCATACTCCATAAATTTTACACGCACACACTCACACACACACGCACACACACTGTTGTGTATGTGCAGGATGATCTGAGCTGTCCATTGCTGGAGGAGGAGATCGACGGTCTCGCCGGAGCCCTGTTCCCCTACTACGATCCAGACACACACATGCTCTACCTGGCTGGAAAGGTGTGTGTGTGTGTGTGTGTGTGTGTGTGTGTGTGTGTGTGTGTGTGTGTGTGTGTGTGTGTGTGTGTGTGTGTATGTGTGTATGCATGTGTGTGTGTGTACAAATAATAACAGAGAATGAAGTATTTTCAAAATGTAAATGTGTGTGTTGTGTGTGTGTGTGTGTGTGTGTGTGTGTGTGTGTCTCATCATCAGGGAGATGGAAATATCCGCTATTATGAGGTGGGAGCTGAGAAACCCTTCCTGCAGTTCCTGACGGAGTTCAGATCTGCGGCTCCTCAGAAGAGCTTGTGTGAGTTTCAGCTTCACACACACTCAACACCACATCATCTACAACACACACACACACTCAACACCACATCATCTACAACACACACACACACACTCAACACCACATCATCTACAACACACACACACACTCAACACCACATCATCTACAACACACACACACACTCAACACCACATCATCTACAACACACACACACACACTCAACACCACATCATCTACAACACACACACACACTCAACACCACATCATCTACAACACACACACACACACTCAACACCACATCATCTACAACACACACACTGACCAAACACTGCAGCACATGTTCATTGAGGGTCTGTATGTGTATGTGGGTGTCTGTGCGCACTTATGTGTCTGTCTGTGTGTGTGCATGTGTTTGTGTGTGCATGCATGTGTGTGTGTGTGTGCGTTTGTGTGTGTGTGTGGACGCGTGTGTGTGCATGTTTGTGTGTGTATATGTATGGATGTACGTGTGCGTGGTTGCATGTTCGTGTGTGTGTCTGTGTGAGAGTGTGTATGGGTGTGCGTGTGTGCCCCTCTGTATTTGCATGTGTGTGTGCATGTGTGTATTTGTGCATGCATGTGTGTGTCGGCATGTGTGCATGCGCATGTTTGTGTGTGCATATGTGTTGATGTACATGTGTGTGGGTGCATGTCTGTTGTGTATGTGTGAGTGCGTATGTGTGTTCATGTTTGTGTGTGTGTGTGTGTGTGTGTGTGTGTGTGTGTGTGTGTGTGTGTGTGTGTGTGTGTGCGTGTGTGTGTGTGTGCAGGTGTGATGCCCAAGCGTGGTGTTGATGTGAGTGAGTGTGAGATCTTCAGGTTTTATAAGCTGGTGACGTTCAGAGGTTTGGTGGAGCCCGTCTCCATGATCGTCCCGCGCCGGGTGAGTCAAACCTGCACGGTAAATATGAGTATCTGCAGATGTGTGTGTGTGTGTGTGTGTGTGTGTGTATGTGTGTGTTTGTATGTGTGTGTGTGTTTAATGATTGTGTGTGTGTGTGTGTGTGTGTGTGTGTGTGTGTGTGTGTGTTTAATGATTGTGTGTGTGTGTGTGTGTGTGTGTGTGTTTGTATGTGTGTGTGTGTGTTTGTATGTGTGTGTGTGTTTAATGATTATTTGTGTGTGTGTGTGTGTGTGTTTAATGATTGTGTGTGTGTGTGTTTGTGTGTGTGTGTGTGTGTGTGTGTGGGTGTGTGTGTGTGTGTGTTTGTATGTGTGTGTTTGTATGTGTGTGTGTGTTTAATGATTATTTGTGTGTGTGTGTGTGTGTGTGTTTAATGATTGTGTGTGTGTGTGTGTGTGCGTGTGT